GGTTTAGGGTTTAGGGTTAGAGGTCCAGGGGACTTAGTAATTAGGTTATAAGTAGAGTTATAGTAGAGCTACTCCAATTCCAACCCCACTTAGAACCGACTTACTACGCCCTGGGCCTCCAGGTAGGCGAAGTGTATACGTGCCTTGATACTTGGAATAGGGCTCCTCTGACGGGTGCGTGGAAGGTCCTCGAAGAAATAGGCCTTGAACATGAGAATTTGGGTGTTGGGCGTATCTTATACAATAACTTCTAGTCATGGGGGCTGTAGGAGAACAATCTAGCGAAGTTTGGAGGGTTTTCTTTTTCCCTAAACCCGACCGGGTTCTGGAGGCGTCACAGCTGGTTACAAGGAGAGCAGGCTAGAAGCCAAGATTCGTAGCTCCGGATAGCAGGGATTAAGGAATGCATCCTTATAGTCCCCTACATCCCCAGCACAAGAGTACTATAGGGGCCTTAATAAGTGCCTATACCCCTACAAGGCAGGACTTGATTTTCCGGGCAGAAATCGCAGTGCATGTCCTCTGTAAGAAGGAGCGGTCCCCGACTCCCTGACACCAAATCGAGGCCTAGGATAAGTCCAGGGTTTAGCGTTCAGGGTTCGCAGGCATGCAGTGCTGAAGGCAACCCCAAGCTCAGGAGCCTGCATAGCTCTCCATAAGTTTAGGGTTTAGGGTTTAGGGAAGTGCTTTCTGGAAGTTTTGGCAGTTTGGGTAGTGCTTTCATTGATTACCGAACCCCCAATTCCTAACCCATCAACTGCCGCCATCAACCCCTTGTCCCAAACCCTTAACCCTAAATGGCCTCGAAGTCGGAGTTTCGAAACAGTTCGGCGAGCTGGCAAAAGAGGAGCTTCCAAAACAGCAGGGAGCAACACAAGGCGGAGAACCGCGTCTGCCTGGGCACCTGAAGCAATGAAGATCTCCTGTGTGTAATACGTCATTGATAGATAAAGAAAGAAAGGAAGAGAGAGAGAGAGAGAGATGTGTATATATATATATATGTATGTATGTATGTATGTATATATATATATACATATGAATATATGTATATATGTATATATGTATATATGTATATATGTATATGTGTATATATATATATACATATGTATATATGTATATATATATATATATAGCAAAGCCAAGTGACCAAGTGACGAATGAACTGGACCTTGGAGATGCCGAAGACCAAGGCTGCTGCAAGCGTTGCGCGGTCCCGCCATCAATGCCTCAATATCTGAATTCACGTGTTGCCAAGCGTGATTGATTGATGTACAAATCTTGACCTGGCCTCGTATGGTGCCGCGATGGCGAGGCGGTGGCACGTCATACTGGATCGTCAGCGAACAAGTCGTGTGGCTCCAGGGCTTTAGGACTTCACGGTTTCGAGCTTACTTGGAGGGCCAGGGGACGAAGCAAGCAGGTTCTAAGTAGAGTTACAAGTTTATAAGTATAAATGGACTTACACCACTTATACCCCTACTTAAAGCCGACCCTAAACCCTAAACCCCAAATTATACCCTTACTTCTGGCCGGCTTACTAGGTCCCCTCTGGGCCTCCAAGTAGGGCTTCGAGCTCAGGGCTTTGGTGTGTCAGGTATACGGCGATTTACTAGAGCTCCGCGACCTTGGGGCTTATGTGAGGTTTTTGTCTGGGGTCTGTTGGGCTTTTGGATGAGGTCGGTGCAGACAGGGTGTTGGGACGTCGTTCAGGTGCGAAACATCGCCTGAATCGGGCGTCATGTGGCTAGCAGGTGGGGACTCAATGCTTTGAGGCTCAGAACCCCTAAACCCGAAACTCTAAACCAAAAACCCTAGCCCCTAAACCCTAACCCTAACACCAAGCCCCTAAACCCTAACCCCTAAACCCCAAACCCTAAACCCTGGCTGCTGGTGGAGTTCTGAGTTCAATGAGAGTGCTCCTCAAGCAGAGCCGGCCGAGTCCCCCCCATCCCGGGTAAGACTTGCAGGGTTGGTTTAGGGTTTAGGGTTTAGTCATTAGGGGTTTAGGGTTTAGTAATTGGGGGTTTAGGGTTTAGTAACTAGAGGTTTAGGGTTTAGTGTTTAGGGGTTTCGGGGCTTAGGGTTTAGGGTTTAGGGGTGGAGGGTTTAGGGCCGGCCCGACCTTGCCTATCAGGTGGTGCCGCTGGGGAGCAATCGGCGTCATCCCTGGTTTCCCTGCTGAGTCTGCAGGAGCCCTTGCGAGACACACCGGATGCTCTAAATCTGGATCTTGTTCCTCCCCCCCTGAGCCTTAAGCTTGGAACCCGAAATCGCCCTTACCCTGAACCTAATCCTCTAGCCCCAAAATCTGAAACAAATTTGTTCCTAGTGCGTTAACAGCGCAGCCTTCACGAACCCTTCCCCCAAGATTGTTGATCCTGAAGCCTGAAGTCTTTATCTTCTCGCGCCTCAAACCCTGAATCCTAAACCCTGGACCCTGAACCCCGAACCCCTAAACCCTAAACCCTAAACCCTAAACCCTAAACCCTGGACCCTGAACCCTAAACCCCTTTCGGGATTCAAGGTTTCGGGTCTGGGATTTTGGGGGATCTCGGGGTCAATTTGTACTTCAGGGCTCAGGGGACTTAGTAAGTAGGGCCATATTTGGGGTTTAGGGTTTAGGGGTTTAAGTCCGCGAAGTAAGGCTATCCCAATTATAGCCCTTACTTCGAACCCTCGTTACTAAGTTCCTTGGGCCCGTTTTGTAGGAGGGTCCTCGAAGGATGCAGGAATTGATCTCCTCCACCGGGGCGGGCCGGGGGCCCCTAACCGACACCCATAAACCCTACCCAAAACGGCACCCAGGAGCCTTAAACCATTGAAAAACGAAGCCCATAAACCCCAAACTCTACACCCATAAACCCCGTACGAGAAAGCAAGCACCGCCAGACCCTAAACTGTAGCTTATACATTCTGAAATCCCCACGGGTTGGTGCGAAGTCGGCTGATAGCTCGCGAATGTGCCGCTCATTGCTCCTAGCCCGAGATGTCGGAATAGGGCCAAATCTCCAAAAGCAAAGGTCTTGAAGGTTTAGGGTTTTGGGGGGCGGCATAGCCCACCCCAGCAACCCACCCGAAGCCACACCTCCATCACCCCGCACCTGAAACGATGCCCCAGACCGCCGGACCAGCTCCACCCTAAAGCGGTTTAGGGTTTAGGGTTTAAACCCTAAACCCTAGACCCTAAACCCTATACCCGAAACTGTGAACCCCAAACAAGACGGAGAAGCTGCCTCGTCGCATTCAGAGGGCGGCACGCTAGCGCTGAGCGTTCGGATAACATAACAGCTAGTAGCAGAATAATCTTTAGGCCTGTGTGGTGCAAGAACACCCTACAAGAGCTGCAAGGTTTAGCTACAGTTCTTCTAGGATGGCCCTAAACCTTAAACCTTAAACCCTAAACCTTTCAAGTCCCGGATCAACAGGTCTTTGAACAGCACCACCAGGGTTAAACCCACCCAGGTCCACGGTAATGCTTTTGCTCTGGGGTTTAGGTGTTTTCCCCTAAAGCCCTAAACCCTAAACCCCTAAAGCCCTAAACCCTAAAACCCCAGAACCCTAAACTCCTAAATCCCTAAA